CGGCCGCAGGGCAGCACCCAGTGGGTGTCATGTACAGACCTGAAATGATAATGGTACTTTGGAGACTTTAGTGTCAGCGTTTTAACTTTTAGTTTGTGAAATGATCATTATTATTGATTGATTGATTGATTTTATTCTTTCAAGCATGTAAAGACAGTTATGTCAACACACATAATTTTACACATATCCAACAAATGCTAATCCAATATCAATTTGCTTATACCTAGTACATGCTTGAATGGAGTAGGAAGAAGTCAGACTTATCCAGTCCTACCCCATGACATCATCTTACCATCATTGGTTTGCAAGCAGTATCTCTACATAAATAATTCTCTTCTACACCACACAAGTAATATACTAAAAAAATTATAACAGAATGTTAACATTCTTACATAATTACATTCTTAAATAATTATCTTCTACACCACACAAGTAACATACTAAAGAATTAATACAAGGTGTTAACATTCATACACCACACCCACAATGTTCCATCTAATTAATCATTGAGCCTGTTCTTGCATATATCTTGATTGACACATACCTTTATATTTATGTTTAAACTCATCAATTCTATTACTATTTTTTATGTCCACACTTAAATTATTCCATAGTTTTACCCCACTTATGGAAATACAAAATCTTTTTTTGGTTGTACATATAACATGAATTTTTAAATTTAACTGACCCCTTAAATTGTATCCCCCTTCCCTTTCATTAAATAGTTTTTGAATTCCACCAGGTAATAAATTGTTCCTGGCTTTATACATAAACACAGCAGTCTGATATCCCACTAAATCAAACAATTTTAACAATTTAGACTGTATGAAAGCTACATTGGTGTGATCCCTATACCCCAACTTATGCACAATTCTTATCGCTCTTTTTTGTAATATATACAATGGTTGAAGTGAGCTTTTGTATGTATTTCCACAGTTTTCAACGCCATACTCTAAGTATGGTAAAATCAATGAAGAATACAAAATGCGTAATGCTTTCCCATCCAAAATATATTTCACTGCCAATATCGATATATCTTTTGCTAATTTATTCTGAACATATCTAATATGCGATTTCCAGGAGAATTTGTCATCAACCATGACACCTAGAAATTTAATTTCATATACTCGTTCTATATTGGCTCCCCCAATTTTCAATTGAAGTTCATTATCTAGTCTACAATTCCCAAATACCATAAATTTAGTTTTATCCAAATTCAGAGATAGTATATTACTGTCACACCATTTCTTTATCTTCTCAAGTTCCTGTGAAGCTCATCCAGAGAGTTGCTGTAGGTTTTCACCCAATGCCCATATGGCATCACATCGCTGTTTTCCACGGCTTCACTGTGGGATCTTTGTTGTTTCCAGATGAGACGGGCAAATTGTGTGAGCGTTGTCAGTTATGACCATCCTTACCTCTGTTCAGGTCAGTGTACCCTATGTCATCTAGGTTTCACCCTTTGCCAGGTTGCAGCTAAAACATGACAGCGTTCCTGCTCTGTATAGAAACAGCAGAGGCAAAACCAGGCTGCTGGGCAGACACAGCCAGGCTCCAGACATCAGCATTAAACACCCAATCTCACCTCCACCCGCTGAATTAAACATTATATTGCAAACAGTTATCCCAAGAGACCTCAACAATAGTGCTCCTGTTATGACAGTGATAGTATTAAAAGACCTCAGCTTTGATTGGTCAATCTGCTTCCTAGTCCCGCCCACTTTCCACAGCCCCAGGCCAATCAAAGCATAGAGAACAGAAAAACTGCAGAAAATGACAATAAATGCAGTGACAGCAAAGATGGCAAAATATACCGAGGTGGGTATGTCAGGGAAGTACAAAACCGCTAAACCCAAACTCCCAGAACACATCAGCCAAACGCAGCCGACGCTGATGTTTCTGTTCCTGACCTGCCTCAGGGCCCGGAAGGTGACGGGGTGCACGACAGCCAGGTAGCGCTCCACACAAGTCAGGCAGTGAAAGAAAGTCAGGCCAGGGTAAGTGACAGTGAAGGAGTAATACCCAACCATCTTCATCTTCAGACTGCATGTGTAGATGGCACCACAGAAGAAGACAGATCCTAAAACAGTGATTAACTCCAGAGCGGCCGTGCAGTAGGTGAAAACATCAGAGTGGCCTGGTCTTCCCGATTTAATGGAGGACTGGTGCCATCTTTGGAATCCCATCAAGAGGACAAGAAAGTAGAGAGGGAAGAGGAGGATGTTGACGATGGTGAAGACAGCGAAGATCCTGGAGCTGCTGGTGTAGTCAAGGCATTTAAAGATGTGTGGATACAGGGAGGTGTTTGAGAAGCAGAGGACACTGGAGAGCAAGGAGATGTTTGAGGAGGAGGTGACCGACATGTTTGATGACTGAAAGCCTGAGAAGGAGAAGATACAGAGACTTCATAAGAGGTGCACTAAATATGAAGCTACAGCCAGGAAACATTTATCTTACCTTAACACTAAGACTAGAAATGGGGGAAAGTGGTAGCCTGGCTGTGTCGACAAGTATCATATACCAGCATCACTAAAACTCACTAAGTGTGGTGTTATATCTCCACAGCCTGACAGCAGACGTCTTCTGTGGTGGAAATGGAGAGGTGACACAACCTGTAACCACTAATCTACTAGGAATATGTCAGATGTATGGACCAGAACACTGGAATCTTAAAAAATATAGCAAGTATAATATCAGAATCAGAATAGTCCTCAATGGCCAAATGAGTTTGAACATACAGGCTTTTGACTCTGGTACTGTTGTGGTTTGTGTCCTGCTTCCGGTTTTGGGCTTTTATTTTGGTTTGATTTCCTGGTCCTGTGTCACCTCACCTGCCCCAGCTTTACTCTGGTCTTCAGTCACCACTCATTGTGTTCACCTGTCCCTCATTATCCTCCCATCTCCTGTGTATATATCATCCTCCCTTCCTCAGTCTGGTTGCTGGCTCATCTGTTCTCTGTGCCTCGTTGCCCCCATCATCCGTCTCTCTGCCTGTCCACTTTCTAAGCTCCTGTATCAGCTGCCTTGGGTACTTTTCTGTTCTTTTGAGTTTTTCCTGTCAGTAAGATTCTTAGTTCTCCTGGTTCGTTTTAGTTGCTATTTAGTTTGTTTCATGTAGCTCCCTGACCGTTCTGTTTAGATATTAGTTTTATACCTGTAGTGTGAAGTCCTGTCAGGTTGAGCATCTGTTTACCCCTTTGTTCCTCTTCATTTATGTTAAACTGAAACACTAGACTCTAGACCCTGTCTGCTTTTTGGGTCCTTCCTTGCCTGAACCCTAACAGGTACAGAGGCTCTCAGTCAGCTGTAAGGCAACAGGAATAGAAAGTAACAATGAGAATAAAAATAAAAATCCTGAAAAACAAAGGTAAACATCAGTTTCTAGAATACTAAACCTTGAAATCTTGTATTCTGATGTAGAGAAGAAGAAAATAATGGAAAGAAAATATTTTAAAATGGTATAATACAAAAATGACTCATTTGAAAAGCAAAAACTTAACAGTGAAGTGAAAAAACCTTAGAAAAAACTAACTGGACTAAATTTCTAGGTCGAAGACGTTTCACCTCTCATCCAAGAGGATGAGAACTGATGAAGTCTCTTGGATGAGAGGTGAAATGTCTTCGACCTAGAAATTTAGTCCAGTTAGTTTTTTCAGCTTACTATGACCTGGATGACTGAGAATCTGCACAGACATCTTAACAGTGAACATACGATCTACTTCACGTTAGAAAAGAAGGTGATGAGGTGCATTATGTTTTCTTCTACATCAAGCTAATCATAAGTTAATCACTAACAGTTCATTACTTGCTGTATTATCTAAACCCAAATGATGTTAATCAGCTTTAATCCATTAAAATGTAAGAAGACTAACCTTTAAAGCAGTGGTTGTTTCTGATATCTGCCTCTGTGTCCAGCTATTTGTCCCATTGAACAGGTGTCCTTTCAGAATAATAATGTGACTGATGGCTTTCATGTCACTTTTGTCTGCATGGAATGGAAATAGGCAGGTCCTTTGCATAATGCAAAACAAATGATGTATTTTTAGCACAATATTCTGACAATAATTTATTAACATTTTATGTGTTTCAGCTCTTGCAGATGAAATATCTTGACCCTCCCAGTCTGAAATTTGGAGAAATCAAGATGTAACAAACAAATTAGTGGTTGTTGTTACCTTTAAATCCCAGAGAAGGAAGTAACACCAAAGACGCCAGCTGCCGTAACACCCGAAAGAAGGAAGAAGAAGAAGAAGAACCGTGGTTGTCAAAGTAACCAGTTGAGAGGAAGGAACGGAACCGTTTATTAATGTGTTTACGGTCGGACTGTTTTGATGGGCGGACCCACAGAGTGCATTTTGAACTTGTCAATAGGAAAGCTGTCATTCTCTTCCATTTCTAAATCTAGTTAAATGTGTTCATGATGTCTAATTTTCCACATTTACTTTGTAACGCGCCTTTAGCCTTCAGGCGGTTGTCGCGCTGCAGAGGCTCAGGAAGGTGCGTCAGTTTGTGTTTTGACGCTCGGACTTTGCACTCTAGCCTCTCTGCTGAGCGGCCATCCAGGACTAAGCACCAATACAAAACTAGTTCCAGATGTTATACAAGTTCTGCCAGGACACAGCCGGTCCGGATCGGCTGCGCCTCGGGGTTCTGGGGCGACACAGCCGCCTCAGGTTCGGTGACATTTACTGTTACACTAACCACGTAGCATTAGCTTTAGCATTTAAGTAGCTAGTAAAGCTAACTATGCTAAAAACACAAACTTTAACAGGTGTTTGTACATGGACTTAAAATGACTTCATAGCTTTTATTTACTGTCTGACACATTTTGAGCCTCTGACTACATAAATCATTTGATGTGGATGTTTTAAGATGTGCAACCATCAAAATAGTAGTTTTACTTGCAAGGTCTTTGCACTTATTTCGTTTATTTGCCTTTCAGTGTCTTATTAGTTTCAAATGTGGATTTACTGCACATTTTCTTTCACAGAATAAGAAAGTCTGGTACATAAGGAAGAGACGGTATAAAAAGCTTCTGATTATTTATATGCAAGTAGAATTTAGGCTAATGTGGAAGAAAATGCAGCTGTAAAGTGCATTAGTTTCATTTTAAAGGTGAGAGTTATCAAGTACTACGTTTTTGATGTACAGTACAATTAACTGACAACAGGCACAGTCAGTCAGTAAAAAGCACAGGTGACTGACTTGTCAGGCCACCATACAGCACAGGTAGCACCCTAACCCTCTGGAAGTGAAGCAGCCTAATGGAGCTCATTTTACCCATAATTCACCGGCGCCTCCTGGTCGACACCTACATGTTCTCGTTGTTCACTGCTAATGCCTGTAACCCCAGTGCGTTACTGTTCTTAATTCACTGTTTGCTCAGTGCCTCAGCTGATCCACAGTGGGAAGCTGGACTTCCTGGTGTTCGACTACCTTAGTGAGATCACCATGTCGCTGCTCACCGCCGCCAAGTCCAAGGCACCTGTGAGTTACACCTGTTCTTCTATCTCTGGCTGTTTTTCACTTCCTCCAAGGTGAAGAAGGGTAAAGACGTGGGTTTAAAGAATGTATTATGTTTCATTATAATAAAGGAGGACAGACCTGTGTGTCTGAACCTAAGTTCAGAGCTTTCAAGATGTTGCACAGTAAATAGTGCTTAATGATGGTTTCTACAGGAAGTGGTAAGCTTTGTTTTTGGAATTCAAATTCCAACTATCTAACACCTGTATATCAATTTCGCAAAGTGGAAACGAGGACGACTCATGGATCTGGGGCAGGTTAAGCTCACTGATCTGCCAACATCAGCTGGAAGTTGTCAGCTTTTTCTTACAGTCGGGGGTTAACTCTGACCCCTTACTGTTAACCTGCTGAGGTGAGCAACTTCCAGCTGATGTCGCCAACTTCCTGCTGTCACCATTTCAGCAGTCCGTCATCTTGTCTGCAACCAGGTTCTCTGAGTCGTACCTGCAGCCAGCTTTTGGTTTTTCTTGATGTGCACAGAACAGTTCTGCATGTTCAGCTGCTAGATCTCATCAAAAAGCAGTTTTAGTGACTTGTCATAACAAATTAATTTCATCTCTATCGTCGTGTGACGGCTTATCACACAGTTAATCCCTGTTTTGTTATTTTATTCAGAGTTAACTCCTCTTATTTAGTTTCCTCGTTATTTACGTGATGAAACAGTCTTAATGCTGCTTATATTCAGTTATCTCATCTGTAAATGTATGATAACTTTTATATGGCTAGACCAAAACAATGGCCAGTGTTGGCTTATCGATATGTGTGTTGGCCTGTAACTGAAGACTTCTGAGTGCAACAGTGTCAAATAAACATTTGAGTTCATTTTTAAACAGAGTTTATGATCTTTTGGTTTTGTGTTGGTGTATAAATTGAATATCAGTTGATACAACATGTCTTTCTCAATGTTTTATAACAGTTTGTTAGCGTCAGCCAGGCTCGTACTGAGATTTCCTGTTCTCACTGACCGTGTTGTGTGTGAGTGCGACCTGTTGTACGTCTGTGTAACTCATAGCTGATGCTGGTTGTGTTGCTGTGCTGCTGCAGAACCTGGGTTACGCTCCGGACTTTGTCCATCTCGCCCTGGCTCCTTTCATCAACGACATCCACAGGAAAGGTGAGTGAACCTTTCTCAATAAACCGAGTAGAAACAGAAATCTTTGTTTGTGGCTCCAAACCTCCTCTTTGCAGGTATTCGTGTCGTGAGCAATGCGGGAGGTGTGAATCCTCTGGCCTGTGCGGAGGCTGTACAGGAAGTCATTAAAAAGGCTGGACTTGACCTCAAGGTTGCTGTGGTGACCGGTGATGACCTCATGCCTCATGTAAGACCTCTCCATCATCATCACTGTTTTTATTGACGGCAGGATGACTTGACCTGCCCTCTCCTCTTAGAGAAACAGCTTCTCTGATGTGCCAGTGGTGGACGACGACAGCAGACAACCGTTACCTCAGACACTCCACAGTATGAATGCCTACCTTGGGTACGAACTTATCAATACACACTTTGACTTCATGTTTGACAGTGACTTTATTCAAAATACGTGAAGCTGAGATGCTGCCCTGACATTTCTGGAACTTGTTATTAGGGTTTTGGAACCATAGAACTGAAACTCAGGTCTCAGACCAGAATATTAACATGTGACCAGTGTAAAGCGTCTCAATGCTGGGAACCATCTGCTGCTTGTAACATATTAAAGGACAAACGAGCATAAAGTGTCCAACAGAGACTTTTTAGTGACGTGTCCCCAGAGCAGTTCCAGTGCTGGTCTCATCTGTAGCTGCACACAGTCCAGACTGGGTGAAACATGTAGCTGCTCTCACTCTGTCCGTGTCCGTCCTCAGGGCCGTTCCTATCCGCCGCTGTCTGGATCTCGGGGCAGATATCGTGGTAACAGGACGATGTGTGGACAGCGCCATAGCACTGGGGCCACTCATGCACACTGTACGTTCGACATGCAGCAGCTTCTGAAAGTATTGACACCTTCACACTGTTGTACATTTAAGGACACGTCTCTGAGTGTCCTGGAGGGGTCCAGACTTAGGCCCCATATGAAGACGGTAGGGGTGTGATGAGATCTCGTGCAACAAACAAGCTAGCTGCTAGCTCTCTACGTGCCCACTGTGGTGAGCCAGAGGCTGTGGAGGTGATGTCATGATGTCATGTGACTTGTTCTCCTGCAGCGGGTGTTCATCCTCGAGACAGACATGTTCTTGTTGGGTTGTTTCTAAAAGTAACAGCTGTAGTGTGTGTGTGTGGGAGGGAGGTGACCTCTATCTGGTTTGTTTATCTTTGTGCTGCAGTTTGGATGGGAGAGGGATGACTATGACCTGCTGGCAGCTGGGAGGTACACACACACTCTCACTCATTTACTGAAGTACTGTACTTAAGTACAACTTTAAAGTATTTGTTTTCTACTACTCCATACTTGGACTTCAGAGCTAAATTTTTACTGTGCTACATGTATTTGGCATCTTTAGTTCTTTAAGTCCAGATAATATCACAGTGAGATTGTGAACACATTTAAACCACGTTTCTCGTGGCTAGAGCCTGATCACCATGTAGCTGCGCTTCTCTGTCTGGGTGTGTGTGTGTGTGAATCAGTCTGGCAGGTCACCTGATCGAGTGCGGTGCTCAGAGTACAGGGGGCATCTTCACCGACTGGCACAAAGTCCCTGACTGGTAACTGTCGGTCTGCACACAGGCCATGAGAAGTTGGTTCTTGTTGACAAAGTGAAGGCTGCACAGTGACTTCATCTCTGTCTCAGGGACAACATGGGCTTCCCGGTGGTGGAGTGTTCCAGCGAGGGCTCCTTCATCCTCTCCAAACCGCCCAACACCGGCGGCCTGGTGTCCTTTGGCACAGTGGCCGAGCAGCTGGTGTACGAGATCGGAGACCCGCAGAGATACCTGCTGCCTGACGTCACCTGTGACTTCAGCCAGGTGGTCCTTAAAGAAGTGCCAGGTGCATGACACACACATTCACGGAGTCAGCCCTGAGGACATGGCCACTGGCTGAACCGTGCTCTGTTTTCATAACCCCTAAATACTCTTCTGGTGACTTTAAACAAACGCGTCTGGAGCCTTGTTTCGCCCCCTGACTGAACCCTTCACCCTCATCCGAACCTCCAGTTATCAGCTCTTACTGGTTTGTTTTCCCTTTTCCAAACTAAACATGTCCATCGCCTCAGGCTGAACCTGTGTCGAGTTCCACTGCAGCATCTAACCCTCGCATGAACTTTCCCCGGATCCTCCATCACACTCTTCCTCACTGATAAGAAGCTTTGTTTTTCCTCTAGCTGGCCATTAATTGACTGATTCTGATTCACTGAGAGGCATCGGTACTCCCAGAGTCATGAGCTTTCCCTCCCACAGTACTGTTTGTATAAAGAAGTGTCCAAATAATACACGACATGTGGAGGACAGCCTTAGGATTTCACATGCTCAGACTAACGGAGCCACTAACTCTGCTCACAGATCATCCAGATATGAGGCTAAATCCTCAACCTATATTTGAGGCTGCCTCTGTCTTAGGTAAAACAGGTTAACATTGTTCTAGTGTCAGAGTTGTGGCTGAGCTGTGTACTGAACCTGTAGCTCCTGTTGTTGCTAAACCTGTAAATAATTCAGTCTAATTGAACCTCAGCTGAACTCGAGTTCTGTTTGACCACTTCGTGACACCAGTAGTTTGTGACGTGAACTGAGGGTGAACTAGTGTGTGTGTGTGTGTGTGTGTAGTCTGGTTCAGGCCAGGGTGAAGTATTCAACACACTGAGGGAGATGTCAGGAGGTGAAGGGTGGCGATGGTGTTGAGAAATGACCAGATATAGAAGAAGAGCGGCATTAATGACAGCGGGGTCGCCCAGCAGTCACAGTCACAGTCACAGTGCTGCTGCCTCTGGATTTGAACTTGACTTGCACTTTAAAGTCACACACTCAGATTAGCTGTTTCATAAACAGCTCCCATTTTGTTCATCAGAATGCAGAACTGTTTGTCTTTGTGTGTCGGATGTTTGCTGGAAAATGTGAAATGTACGTGTGTGTGTGTGTTCAGGTGTAGAAGGCGGCGCCGTCAGAGTCAGCGGGGCGAAAGGCTTCGCTCCGTCACCTCACTACAAGGTAAAGCAGCGTCCTCGGCCGAGCGTCGCAGCAGGTTTACTCTGTGTCTCTGTGGTTTCAGCACTGTATCGTTTGTTTTTCCTCTGCACTGTAAAAACATCAAACCATCTTTTTATTTCACAATATATTTGAGGTGAGTTTTCATTTACCTTCAGGTACTTTTACCCACTGCTGGAAAGTAACTCAATACATTTGCTAGTACTTAAGTACAGCTTTAAGGTATTTGCATTTCCATGTCCTACCCAACCTCCTCCTGTCTCCAGGTGTGCGCTACATACATGGACGGTTTCCGGGCAACGGCGGTGTGTCCGGTTGGAGGGCCGCGGGCGGTTGAGAAGGCCCGACGCACTGCAGAAAGCATCATCAAACGGTGCATTCAGGGGAACGGACTTCCTGCACGTGGATACTGATAGTAAAAAGCAAGTCTAAGACTAAATGTTGTGTTTGTGTGTGTTTAGGGTGAAGCGCATGTTTAAGCAGTTAGGACTCGACGATTTCAGCTCTGTTAACATCCAGGTCCTCGGAGCTGAGGACACTTACGGGGCCAATGCTCACACCAAGGTAACATTCTTCAGTGACACACAAGACATTTAAGAGAGTTTGTAGCTTTCACCAGTCTGAGTCCTGAATAGACAGGCACATGAGAATGTTGTGATTAATAATGTCTTATCGTTGGTGTGTGTGTGTGTGTGTGTGTGTGCAGGGCTGCAGAGAGGCAGTGATCTGGATGGCTGTGCACCACCGACAGAAGAAAGCTCTCGAACTCTTCTCCAGGGAGGTAGCTCCTGCAGGGACCGGCATGGGTGCGACAAACACACGTGCTCTTTCTTTAAATCCTCTTAAAGCATAAGGGATGGCCACTTTTGTTTTTGTTATTTTCCACAAATCTCGCCCAGAGTCTAAAAGCAGCGATGAATGTGGTGCACTCACTGTGATGTGTGTGAATCCAGAGCCATGTGAACCCCCTCGTGCACCACTGGAACCTCCTCAGGGTCTATGTAAGCTTCCTAAAGTCCCTCAGTGACCCCTGGAACCTCCTGAAGCACTATTGGAACTCAGTCTTTAATAGCTGGTGGACAACAGTGGAGGTCTACAGCACAGAGCGATGAGCTGGTCCAGGGTCTGGGCTCACACATTACGGTGAGGACACCTCATTCACTGGTGCTGCTGGCCTGTGGACGGGGTTTGTCCATAGTAACACACCTTTATAATCATGGCTGGATCTTTTAACCTCTTCACATTGAACTAAAGCCCCTGTGTGCTCTGGTGGCTTTGGTTTTCTAAAGCGTGTCCTCAGAAATAGAAGAGAGAATCTGAGCCGTGTTACTGAAATCACACTGTGAAGTCACTGTATACACCCACTGTAAAGAGGCAGCGTTCGTCAGCTCGCTGTGACCTCCTGAACCAGATTTGGATTTGTTTATGTGCCAAGTTCAGCTCTCACACACACTTGGCATGAACTCGGTGTGAGTTCCATAAGGCTGCTGTTGAACTGTAAGTGGGACAGGAAGCTGAGCTGAACTCAGACCAGCTGAATTGCTTTGTGTTTTAAAGCTCACTGGAAAGCTCAATCTTTTCTCTTGGTCTTTCACTTTTTCCTCACTCACAGCTCCTGGACTGACGGCCATCGTGGGCGGGCGTCCCAGAGTGTGAGTTAACTTACCCTCCTCTAACAACCAGTACTTTGATGCAGCTGCTGCTTGAATATAAATTGGTCCAATAAGAAACAATATTAACATGTAACAGCAGTAGATTTATACACGTTGTTCATTCTGCCGTCGTGGTTTCCAGGTCTGCGGTCCTGAAGCCCTTCTTCTTCTTGCATCCTAAATCTCAGCTCCAGGTGAGAGTCGCAAACATTTTTTAATAAACCAGCTATTTCAACACTGTTTGGGTGATAGAGGTTCTGACTTTGCTGCAGGTGGACATTCACATCGCTGGGGAGCGGGTGGAGTCATTGTCAGAGGTGGGACCAGACGCACCTGACCAGGAAGCTCCTCCCACCTCAGCAGAGGATGTACCTGACACAGGTAACAAGGCTCTGATGGCCTTTAAAGGGTTACATAGTTCTTTGGGGGATGATAATAGTTCTTGTGGAGTTCCAGGAGTCCTTGAGCGTATTCCAGGGTTCAGATTCTTGAGCTGGTTCCACTGGTCCCCAAAGAGGCTTAAATTGCTCTTGAGGAGGTCCAAGGGGTCCTGGAGAAGATTCATATGAACTTTAAAGAGCTGCAGTGGTCTGTCAAGGGTGCAAATGGTCCTTGAGTATGTTCAAATGCCCATGAGGATATTCTGGGTTATAAGGATCCTTGAAGGTGTTCAAATGGTCTGTGGTGGTCCCATGGGCCTTTGAGGACTTCTGGGTGTCCTTTAGGAAGCTTACATACTGTATGTTTTGCCAGACTCATGCTGCTCAGCCTTCAGCAAACCCAGGTATCCAAATGAATTAAGAGTTAACGAACCAAGATGAGTTGTTTGTGTCATTGCAGACATCTGCCTAGAGAGGGCGCTGTCCTCCCACCTCCCTGTTACAGCAACACAAAACCAAACCACTTCTACATCACTGACATGAACAAACAGGGATTCTCTGGGGTTTTTTGTTCGGACATGGTTTAATCCAAGTCTGGAGCCTTAATCTTTTTTGGTTTGAATAATTTTAAGGAAGAAGGTTTAGTTTGTTTATCCAGGTGAGACCGATGACACCTTCTACAGCTCTGTGGTCAATAGCAAAGGCTCTAAAGTAACTGTCATGTTAGAAACATGAGCTCTGGCAGAAACAAATCACATTATCCTGCCTGAACAATGAAAAGCTGCTGAAAACCTTGTGCAAACAGTCAAACCACAAGAATCAATGCAACAATAAAATGCTTCCAGACTTGACAACAGGTTTGTGTAGGAATAAATCAGGCCTCTGAAGTGGAGTCAAACAACCTAAAAGTGAGACTGCGTGTTTGCTTCTGTGTTCACCATTAGCTGAGCCAAACGAACATGTTTTGGTTTTCTGGTCTCTGTCCAGACCTGCCCAGTGGACCACACAGCTACAGACTGGAGGAACTGGCCTACACGAGGAGCGGAGACAAAGGAGACTCGGCCAACATCGGTGAGAAACACTTCACAGCCGAGTGCAAGAGCAAGTAGCTGTCACAGAGCACGATGCTGATTCAGTGGAAACTGAATCCCAGCCTTCACTGAGGTCTCGTTCAGAGGCGGGTTTCACATTTTCTTTATGCTGCTCCCCTCCCCCTCTGCTTCCATCGCTAGGTTTACTTCTCTCTTCTTTTCTCCTTCTCTTCAAAGCCCACAGCAAGCATTTGATTGTTTTTATTCAAAGTATTGCCTTTGCTAGTGACTTTATTATTATTATTATTGCAGTGGTGGTAGTGAAACTCAAAGGGTAAATCTCAATTCCCTTAACCACATCCACATTTCCCCTCACTTGTGTCTTTTCCCGCCCACATAAGATGCCGGAAGAGAGGATTTGAGGAAACGAGTTTTAGAGAGATGAGACGTCCTTTCCTCTGATCCATCATATGAAGTCTGTTCAATTGATTTCTGATAAAGGGCGTGTCGTCCTTAAGGATGCTCTCGTGTATCCTCACCCCTCATAGCAGGAATAAGAGCTCTGGGATGTGCTTCAAGATGGCGGACTGGAATGACTTCCAGGTTGAGTGAAGAACAATGAAATAGGGGAATTGAGACTGAGCCACTGACTTCACTGTGAGCTTTCTCTCGCTTTCTCCTTAGGAGTCATAGCTCGTCATCCCCTCTTCTTCCCTTACTTGAAGAAACATCTGACTTCTTCTGTGGTGGAGGACTACTTCTCACACCTCATTCAACCAGGAGTGCACAACCCTGTCACGAGGTGAGAAAAGAAATATTTAAATACTCTTTGAAAATAATTTGTTTGTATAGGAGAGGCCTAAAACAACCTCAGAGTCCAGTGTGGGTGTGTTCATGTCTGATCAGTCTGCCTCACATCCTGATGCTATTTTCAAGTTGTTTTACTGCCTGTGTGTGAAGTCAGCCTGTTGAAATTAGCCACAATGTAAAGCTGGTAACTTGTTTACCTAGCATAGTTGTAACGGCACTAAACTTGGTGTCATCATGTTACTGGTGTCTCTCTTTTAGACAACACTGCCCAGGTGTGACAACGAGAGGGGTGTGACAGTAGCAGGTTCCTGCTCCAGCATCTGTGGTGGTTTAGTTTTTGGTTTAGAAGCGGTTATGGTGAGATGTAGGGTACAAATGCAGCTAATGGTGGCTAACGGTGTTAGCAGAGCTGAGACCAGAGCTGTCCGGAATCCGGTAGTGCAGCTTGGAGTTGGTGGGCAGCTCCTGCTCAGCGCTGTGGGAGCTGACCAATCAGAGTAGACTGGGCTTTTAGGGAGTGGGGGGGCTGGATGTTGCGGCATGCTCATCCGCTGGGCGTTTGTGTGTACTGTTAACCTCAGGCCCTACAGTCTGCAGCCCAGTGACCTGGCCACCCACACTTGTGACACTGGTCTTTTGTCTCCTCTCTGGCTGCATGTGACTGGTTTTGTCTCACCCCTCCTTCCTGCAGGAGTTGAGCCATGCTGGGGAGGGGCTCCTCTCATCCACTCATCTTTAGCCATGGTTGTAGGCACCTTCCACTCAAACTCCCAAATGTCACATTCAGGAGGATGAGCCTGCCCCAGGCTCTGTGTGGAGTGTGCATGTCCTCCCTGTTTTCTCCGGGTGCTCCGGCTTCTTGCCACGGTCCAGAGACATGCAGATGACTGTAGTTTGAGTAGTTTGGGTAGTTTGACTGAAGTGTGAACGGCTGTCAGTCCAGTTTGTGGACAGATGGAGCTAAGGGTGCAGTTTAGCTGTTGAGCTGACCCCGGCACATGTACGCCGATGTTTCTGATGTCCACTGTCACACTCAGAAAACAAACCCACAATCAGCTGAATCAAATCATCTGTAGGAAGAGGGGGCGTCCCCTAACCGTACGGTTGGTAGTTCGATCCCTGGCTTCTCAGAGTGAGTGTTTGTGAATGGGGTCATTGTGTAAATGTTGTAAAGCACTATATACAGTCAGTGCAGGTACATTTAGCATGAGCATTTAATCCCTCTGTGTCCTGTCATTACATGTGACCTGTGTTGTTTTGGATCTGGACTCTATCAGGCTACACTCCCAGAAACAATGCTCCATGTTAACATCCACAGTATCAGAGCAAAACAATAATCAGCTGTTTGCACAATGAAAAACGTTTCACTCCTGTTTGACCTTCTACTACAAAGCACGTGATTTTCTGCATACGAGAGGGTGTGGCTGTATGTGCATGTGCACTTCTGTTTGCAGCCAGTGAGGAACAGGCACTTCAGCCTCCTCCACCCGTTTTCAGAGAATGCACACTGCATCAGCTGTGGCTGTGTGATCACTGTCAGACATCGGACGCCACAGAGCAGGAAAACAAAAGGTGCAGTCTGCAGGAGAACAGATGTTAGTCAGGACAAGGCAGAAACACTCACACAGGAAACACAGCACGGCCCTCCTACATCTGGGTCTTCATCTTCCAACATCACAGCTAGTTTAGTTCATATATGACACAGAACTTCCAGTAGCTGCTTGTTGTCATTAATATAACAGCACTGACTGTGCCTCTAAAGCTCATAGTGGGTATATGGCTGCAAACATGTAGGATAAACATGATGAGAACTAACAAATATCAAGAGTAAAACTGATTAGCAAACGTTACAAAGCCTCACTTCCACATACTAAAGCTGCACAGTAGCAGCCTGGACTGGTCAGCTGTTCATCTGCAGGTATGGCTTTGAGAAGTGGTCCAACGTGGGTGGACGAGCTTGCGCAGTGACTCACGTGCATGGTGTTAGCAGTTAGCCTAATGAAAAGGTGGCAGCTGTAAAGCTGGCCGACCTGCGTTTCCTGTCACACCCTGAAACCCCCTGAAACCCCGCCCTGCTACTGCAGACGCTTCACTGGGCCTCATCCACCGCTTGTTATGTGATTTTCTGCTACTGCAGACGTTTCACTGGGCCTCATCCACCGCTTGTTAACCTGCAGGAGGTCCAGCACACACTTACCTGCTTACAGACACGTGCACTCTATGATCATGTTTAACTTCCACCATATGTGCAACATGTATGTGCACAAACACATTTACACACCCACTTACTGACTGGTAAACTATGACACACACACACACACACTTGTAAATCCCACAGAAATGGTTACTAGGCAAAAAAACACACAAAACAAACCACACATGCACACACAGACACATATTTACACGTAAGTGTGTGCAATGAGCCGCCACACTGTTCCAGCACATGGCGCCAGACTGTGCTGGCTGTGTGTGTGTGTTTGACTGTGTGGTGTGAAGCTTTGTGTTGCCATGGCTGACGCCTGTGTGTTTGTACAGATACATTCTGCCAGGGATCCACGGCTTCAACTTTGTCCTGCAGAGTTCACTGGGAGGGGGCGGGGTGGCGTCTCTACGCAGCGACCCCCAGGTAACACGCACACACAGCTCCTCTTTTCTTTTTACTTCTTCCTCGTTGGTTTCCCGTCACCACCTCTGTCCCTCCGTGTCCACTCATCACTGTCTGCTGGAGAACACATGCTGCTGACATTCACACTCCTCCCAGTGACTCAGCGTGGAGAAGTTGACAAAACTAAACTCTCCTGTGAGGAGCAGCAGCTCCTGAACCACTTCAACATGAGCCTGCAAACCTCAGTCTGTCAGACACACACTCCTTTGTAATGTAAACACGTCGGTCTCATGTCTGAATCACCAGCTGAGACTCACGTCTTCCCTGTTTACCACCTGAAGGACAGTGAGGGAGACATTGAGCTTTTTTCCTCTTGTTTTGGAGACTTTCTAGAGAAAAACCTAAAAACAAACTATTGGGTGAGAAGTGAACAATGAGTCAAAATGCCTTTTCTAAATGTATTAACGTATGCGTACTCCAGCGGGAAGGTCGGAGCCTCTACTGTCTCAGGAGCATGCAGAAAAATGACAGAATGGAAGGATCCAGTGTTTATAGGCACAGCAAACAGGGCTAAACATGACTATCTGCAAGATATGATGGCTGAACAGAACATGTTCCACCCTGAATGCGGAACTTGGAGACTTCACTTTCTGTTCTAGGAATCTGGTCTTTATTTGTTGATGCATCATGAATGTTGTCACCTCACCCCACCGTACCAAGGAATGCTGACCTGCTGGTTTAGCTGCCTGAAGTGTCACTGATAAAGAGAAATGTGTCCTTAGAAAGTGTAACAATAAGGCACATGCTGATTGTTTAGTGCACTGTTAGAATATAGAATATATATATAATGGATATAAGTTCAGCAGTTAACTACCTTTAACAAACGCCTTCAGACTGAAGGTGTGGGAAAACGCAGCCCTCTCCATTCATCGCTATGGGGGACTGTGTTCACCAGCACCACAAGGGGCTCTGGCAAAATGACACAGCCCTGTGCGGTGAAAAGGTTCTGGTTCAGATTCCACTGCACCGGACGGTGACATCATCCGGCAAAGGTGCTGCGTTAACCAGTCACATGTGGGGACAATCTGGACGTTGACGCCCAGAGGAAGAAGACTTTTGTTTACCTTGTTAGCATGAACATTCACTGCTATTCACCGTCTATCAATGCCAACACACTGGTGGTAGAGTTGGTGCTAAGGTGGAGTAGGTGGACTTAGTAGCACTGCTGACCAAAACACAACGGAAACTCCTGGGCCAGAAACACGAATGAAGCCACTCACGTCTCATCACAACATCGTACACTCCCCCGACGATTAAAACACAGCAGGGGGTTGTGTTTTTACCGGATCGGTCTGAACGCCCGCTAACAGCCTCCTTCACACTTTCCTCTCTCCTCTTCTTCGTGACCTTCTTGCCTTTCACCCTCCTCCTCTGCTCCTCATCCCTTGTTCAGACACTCCTGTAAAGTTTTTTACCACTTCGCTGGAATCCACAGCACATAAAAGAAACACATTTACAATGTGCTAATACACACACTTCACACACAAAACCTTGAAATGAAACAGGCTGAGGTGGAAAATCACATTCAGCTTGTAAGAACAAACCCATTCTGTATTTGTTGGTTTTAAACAGTTGCTTTTATTCTTAAACCGTGATTTAAAGCTCTCAGGTGACAACTAATACATGGAAGCTTTACATTAAAGATTGTAAACAGAATATATAGAATAACAGTAACAGAGCAAACCAATTCGTTTACCCATTGTTTATACTGTCCTGATGATGGGTCTCTTTTTATTTCAGTTCTGACCATTTTGAGTCCTGTCTAATGACCGTTTTCTTACTTTTTCTTCCCGTTGTAGTTCATTGTAGTTCATTGTAGTCCATTGGTCCTTTGCTTCTATTCTCAGGGTAAAGCCTACGGTCAGATGCTGCTGGACCTGAAGCTGAGGGGTCTTCCTGACCTCAAATCCCTGGTGGACTGAGAGACAGTCAGGAGGGAAATGGAGACACGAGAAGACTTCACAAAGAGAAATGAAAGTGAGACTTTAAAGACGTCTTTCTCAATAGAGACACATACGAATCATTTATGGATCATGTGAGAGATGTTCTTGAGAACCCAGGTTGCATCAGCTCGGTTTCCTCGTGATGCCTTTGAACATAAAAGCAATATTCCCATGATGGTTTGACCGTCACAATGATTCCTGGACCATGAAATCCTACCCCTGGTATTTGTAATCATGTTTATCATTTCTTATTTGTTTATTATTGAAGATAAAAAGGCTCCATAATCTAATGGGTTATTCCATGTAGCATACACCACCTCTCCAACAGCTATTAACAAACAAACAAAACAAAGGTGGTATCAGCCTCCTTGGTGGAAAAGCTGGAAAAGAAGTTCAGTTAGAGAATCTGCTAATAAAATAAAATACAGTGGCATTTACCATCCCAGTTAAACTGTTTCAGTTCATTGAAGAGCTTTTTGTAGGCACCGAGGATCAAGAATGTCTCCAACAAATGTCACGGTAATTCATCCAGTAATAAAGATAATGTACCACAGTGCTGCAAGAGCATGGAGCCCTGTGGAACATTTCATATTAACAATTAATAAAGGATAATAAGGATAATCACCTTTATTAGGCCAAGCATGTTACACGCAAGCAATTTGTTTCTGGTACAGAACCAGTAAACCCCAGATAAAGCAACAAACAGGCCCTGAATTCAGGCTCAGCAAACTTTTCTAAAGTGAATTTTCCCTTCTGGTAAAAGCTGAACATGCAGAGCCACGTGATAATGTAGCAAGGTGCATTTCAACTCATACAGCCCAAAATCACATGGTAAATGTGCACATCATCCTCATAATCTGGACTTGGCCTGTGCACTAGCTTCAGGGGAGCTGCTCCTGAGGCCTGACTTCCACGGGAAAGGCGGTTTGGGTTTCCATCAGAGAGTAAACAAAGCATCCACCACAACTGAGACAGTTCAGATATTAGACGGGCCTCAGAATGTACCGGCATGACGGGGGGGTTTTCCTACAGCTCCTTCATCTCGACTCCACCTACCTCAGATGTTTGCTGGCCCACAGAAATGTAGCTGGCCCTGGCTGCCACCCAGTTATCTATAATTGCAAACAGCCTTAAGCTGCAGTTGGAGTCACCCCACACCCAAACAAGTATAATGTGATAGGTTCACATGAGCAACGAGAGACTGAACGAGTACAACAAGCTAGTAAAATAAAATAATTTTAACACACAGAAGACCACAAGCGTCTGTGCCAAATGTCATGATGATCTGGACCATACAGTTAGTTCAGTGAAACACTAAAGGTCCAAGAACTGACCATGAACTCGCACTGAGCCCAGGATGAAGCCGAACGTCAGAACATGTCTGAACACTGTGCCACTGTTTCTCAGTTCCTGTTTTCTCAGGGCGTGACATGTTCAGACTCTGGGGAATCGATTGAAACGCCGTTCTCCACATGACGCCTTGTTGTGGGCTCACAACTGCATTTTGTACCACAGCCTTGAATTTATTGAGCCACTTCAAGTTCTCATGTTTGTTTTGCTTTGTTCGCTTTTTAAACAGTGTTTTATAGTTGAAGCTGAAATAAGATCACAGATGATTACACTAACAGGATTCAATTCAGTTGGAATTAAAGGTCTTGATCGCTCAGAAATGTAAAGTAACCAACTGTAACAAAGACAAATAAACTCACCTTTGACTTGTTTTTACATCTTATTATAGAATTTCATTAGTTTGAGTCTTCAGCTGTCCACAGAGAAGTTCGCTGCATGCAGTTCAACAGCTGGTTTGTGTATGACTTTGTAGATACTAAACTGAAGAGATTAAAAGTATTTTTATGAGCAGAGCTTCTGTTGTTGATTCTGTGTGAGTGAGCTCCTCTTTCTTGTTAACTAGCATGTCTTTGTCACAGGAAGTGGTGCAACGAGAGGCGTTGACAGCAGCCAGACAGTGAGTGTTCAGTAGTGTTGGGGCTCAAACATCGGCTTTCACAACAGCTTGAAGTGCTCCAGAAGAGTTGTCTTTGGGAATATTCTTGTTGCATTTCCTTATGTTTAATATTGTTATTACTTTGTAATTGTGTTCTTTTGACACTGAGCAAGATACAAGTAAATTACCAAAAAATGACGTCGCTACTTTGACCACACTGGTACGAGGCCAAATACAAAAGACACGACCAAATAAAGATGGAGTTTGGTCCAGATTCTCTGACTTACTGGGCTAAACCGCCAAAGCCTCCTGCTGGGGGGTAAACCACATCCAGAGGAGTGTGTCTCCAGCCTTCCAGCCCAAACGGGAGGCCTTTGTAAATGTATAGAGCACCAACACACTGGAGGTGACTGCACTTTGCTCAGCTGTGAAAAGGACATTTGACACTTTCAGCAGCTCTTTGCAGAGTCTCTGCCCCCGTTACTCTGGATCCTGATGGACAAAGTGTTTTTCTGTGGTTTGACTGAACTGATTCCTGAAAACCCAAACAGCAGGTTCAGCTCCAGACTGACAAACTGAGTGTGAAGGGTTGTGATTAACATTCATCACATGCATGGGAACAAGTGTGTGTTCATTAATCAGTGTGAGAGCTGCCGGTCGCCCATTGAATCGTTTGTCATGACGTTGTCGCCTTTGTGCCCATCGGACTGACGGACAGCGAGTTAACACGTTGACGGCCCCTGACTTTGGCCGTCGCTGAGGATAAAGGCAGATAAATGACGCCTCATCAGTCATTACTCTCCTCTGTCTGTGCTTCTTTTGGAGTCTTTGTCTCTGACTCGCACACACACAGACAAATTCTCAGCAAACAGCAGAATACAAGTCATTTATTAGGTGTAAAAGTAAATCATTTCTGATTCACCGTCTCTCGCTACTGAGCTGAAAGTGAACTGTGCAACTGTAGCATGAGTTTGGAAAGGACAACCAAACATGGAAAACAGTGGTCGGATGTTATTTATTTCAGTAATATTAGTAAACGATCAGCTCAACAGACTGATGTGTTTAGGTTGAATGACTTTGGAAAATTCAGTACAAAAATATATCCTCCATGTTTGTGATCAAATGAAAAAGTGCTCAGAGCCCCAGAAACACTCAGCCTGACCCCGTGTGTTGTGGCAGCTCTTGTTTCTTACAACCAGTCATTTGTTTCTTTTAGTTTGGCCATCCCTGTGCAAATTACATGGTTTTTATTTAGTAATAACAGGAGATTCAACCCCTGCAGTAACCAGACGTTAACGTTTAACATGCTAACATTAGGATCAGGGATATTTATTGTCAGTTCACTATATGTGCAGGACATAGAGAAAATCCAAATACCGTTTCTCTCTCACCATATCATTTAGGAAACAAATAGAATAAAAGTAGAGTAAAAATAGACTAAAAAAAGACTAAGAAAACTAAGTCAAAGTGATTAGGATCAAACTAAACGGTACAACCTACTGAAATGTGGCAAAAGGTCGCAAAGTTCAAGGGGCCGAATACTTTCGCAAGGCACTGTAATAGGCTGTGACTCAAACCCTGTACAATCAGTGACAGTAGTGCAAATGACCAACAATATGACAAAAAGGGGGAATGTATTGAGTTTGTGCAACAGCAGGGGTAGACTTTTTATATCTTTGGATGTTCTGTGGTGGGTTAGGGTCCAGGGGCAGAGGGTGGAGATAATGGATAGTGTTCAGCATCCTCACAGCCTGGTGGATGAAGCTGTTTGTAAGTCTGGTGGAGTGGGCCTGGAGACTCTGATACCTTCTCCCTGAAGGCAGGAGTCTGGGGTGGGAGGTGTCATCAGCAGTGCTGATGGCTCTGTGGGTGAGGTGGGTGTTGAAGATGTCCATGAGGGAGGGCAGAGGGGCATCGACGACCTGGCTGGCTGTTTTCACTATGCGTTGCAGGGTCCTTCAGCTGGAGGCAGTACAGGCTCCGTACCACACAGTGATGCAGCCAGTGATGACCCTCTCAATGGTGCCCGGGTAGAAGGAGCACATGATGGGGGGTGGGGCACTGGCTCTCCTCAGTTTGCAGAGGAAGTAGAGACGTGTTTGAGCTTTCTTGGCCAGTGTTGTGGTGTTGTTGGTCCAGGTCCTCAGAGATGTGCACCCCCAGGAACCTGGTGCTGCTCACTCTCCACTACAGCACCATCGATGGTCAGTGGTGGATGTTTTAGAGCTTTTCTCCTGAAGTCCAGGAGAAAAGCTGGTGTCATGATGTCAGCAGCAGGTTGCTACGGTGGAGAACCAAGAGAACGAGGTTTGAGGTGGATCAGGGTGATGGCCGAGCTCACGTCACTGCAATCTGTCTCCGCTGTGTTGTCACGTTATGTACAGTTTTGAATCTCATGTCTGGAGAGCGAGTGGTTTTGAAGCTGCTCATTGTGACGTTCTGACAAACATGGATCTCTGTACAAAAGGACATGGCAGTCCAGTAGCTGCTGATATTGCCATGGTTAGAGATCTGCAGACAGACTCAGAGTGATATGATCTTGTTTTGAGGCTTTTGGCAGCAGGATGTTCTGGTAGTCGCACTGAGAAGGAGCTCATACTGAAACTGTTTTGATTAAACAGCAGTGTGGGGACGTTTCTGTTGGAAAAGCTTGTGAGCAGATGCTAATTTAACTTTTGTTTGCAGTAATCTGTAGGATTTGTCCCACGTCCCTCCCCAGGCTGCTGGAGAGTGTTGGCACCATGCAGGGTAGCGCACGGAGCAGCCAGAGCCCGTCCTCTCACACTGTCACTCAGCTCCATTCACCCTTTCACAGCGACTCAGTCGGGGTCACATCAACACACCGAGCAGCCAAATCTCCCCCTTCAGTCATTCAACAGCATCCAGGCTTGGGTCTGGGGGGTGGGGTGAGCTGGGGGGTTATTAGGGTTCAGAGTGTGTGTTTCCATGATCTGCCCCTAATCCTCTCCTCCTCTTTAAGGAAGAAGAAGAAAAGCAGTGAATGACAAAACAGAAGCTTCACTTCTCAAGGTAAGTAATCAGTTAATTACCCATGATGCTCGGGGCGCCGCGTCCCCTCCAGCAGCTTCACACATACGGACCAGTGTTGAAGCTGTAGAGGATGAACCGTGGGCTAAACCACCGTGTTTCATTTTATAAACCTCCTCGTTCAGCTTTGTCTGTTCTCACACCAGTGCAGCAGGGTCGGTGCTGGTGATGTCACATGACTTCCTATTTATCTCATTTCACAATGAACATTCCTTTGTCTGTCTGTCTGTCTGGTGCTTGTTAATTCTGGTTATTTTTTATACTAGCCTTATGCTGGTTTACTGTTGACTTGTCCCTTGTATGGGGACATGTGATACACACTGAGAGCCGATGTACCAGGGTCAAATTCCTCATGTGTCCAACACACCAGGCCAATAAAGCAGCTTCTGATGTCACATCTGGCCACCGCCCCGTCTTTCAACACCTTTCCTTTTAATTTTGTCCCATTAGACCGTTGTTTGTTAAGTTTCTTTGAAAAACATTCAGCTGTCAGATGTGTTCGTCCACTTTACCCAGGAGAAGTTGGAGACGACAGAAAGAGGCCTCGTCACCACATAGTGTCCTGTTTCTGCTGTCAGACTGAATGAGGTGATTTAATCTCAGCCCATAAACCGACAGTCTGTCCCAACCTGCATCATGACACCAGCTTTGATGTGTGTGTGTGCCTGTGCTCGCCCTTGTTGACATGTAACATGATCGATCAGAGACTAAAGGTCATCTCAACTTGGTGGCACTCGGAGCCTGACCCTCCCTGCACCGGCTCAGGTCACTGTTTGAACAAATGCTCGGTTTCCCTTGTGCACGTTGAAGCCAGTGAGTTGAGGTTCACAGCTTCTGGGGTCTGTTTAGAAAAGCTGCAGGGGGAGAAACCGCGGGTTTAGTCTGAAACAGGAACAGACTTGTTAGTGAGTCACTGGTACGACACTAAGTGTAACAGTAAATGTCTGGAATAGCCTTTAATCATAAGGACAAGACAGTGATGGTCCTTTTTACACACAGCTCTGATGTAAAGACGTTTCTCTGTCGTCTCCATTCAGCCAGTGTGAGCTCAACACTGAGCTGGGGGTCTGAGAAGCTGATCCACTGAGCGCCAGCCGCTCGCCGCAGAGTTCCCATGATGCTCCATGGGTGAGACTGCCTGTGTGTGAGACCGACATGTGCTGTGGTGGACCAGCCTGAGTTCAGGACATTTGATGTAGTCCTGAGGGGTCAGGGTAGCACTGGGTTCACAGCAGGATGAGGGAGACTCGTATGGGACCGTGGGCCCCTGGACGCAGACGGATATAAAGCCCCCCACCCCTTTTTTTATACAACACTCAGGTTGTGGTCGTTTTGTGTCTTATTGATCCTCTTTGTTGTCAGGCTGCGTTTCTTTCTTTGTAACAGTCACTTCACCTGTGCCCAGTCATCCCTCTGTGGGTTCGAGTCTGGGGCACGTACTGTGTTAGTGGGACCTCCAGTTGGTTCAGCGTGGCCGCGGGGCGAGCCGTGGCCACACGGCAGTCGGATCTAGAACCGAGCGGCTGGAGTCGGATACAGCTTGAGACTCTTCCTACATTCAGTAACACGGACTGGTTTGTCATGAAATGTGCTTTGTACCCAAAGCACGCACGACTCCCGACTGGCTGGGTTCAGACCCATCAGTTTTTGATCAAACTCATGAAGTGTGTTCGTGCTAACAGCAGGTCCAGAGGGTCACTGACCTGTACTCACATCACATCTGGTGTGTAAAAACACAACAATACCAGAAAGAATGGAAACTGCAGGAACACCAGCGATGACGGGCTTAACTTCATATCCCCAGTGTCCCTCTGTAATAAAAACACAAATCAAACGGTTTTCACTCAGTGTCCAGTCAGTTCTCACCCTGATGTTTTGGTTTGGCAGCTGGAGGAAATGTCACGGACGGACTTTGATGGCACGAGCAGTGTTTAACTTGTTCTGTGTGCGGAATCTCTAAGATACAGAAAACACCGAGTAGAGTTTCTTCCTCGTGTGTTATCGTGTCTCGTTCACTGACATCAGACTTTCTTAAACCACAGAATTCTCATTTTCTTTTCCGTATCCTCACCCATCGTGTTTGTTTCTCTCTCCCCAGTGAGTCACGTCTCGCTCAGC